AATCGAATAGAGTATTCGAAAACACGAGTCGTGAAGAATGACACGACTCGTGTGACTGGTCGTATGGGGTCACACGACCCGTGTGAGAAAGTCACACGAGTCGTGTGACTGGTCGTGTCACCTCACACGAGTCGTGTGAGGTGTGACACGACTCGTGTGACATAAAATTTTCTGAAATTTTTCATAGTCACTTTCGTATTTTTCACACGAGTCGTGTGAGTGAGCCACACGAGTCGTGTGACTTGTAACACGAGTCGTGTGACTGATTTTTGATCAGAAACGAGCTGTTTTGACTTAATATGAGTCATTACTACATCAACATATTAAATCAGTGAATTTATATGGTTGATTTAAGGATGATCATGAGCCTTTTATTCATAATGATGAATGATTGCATTTTTATTCAATATGATTGATGGTTGCATTTTTATTTAATGTGATTAAATGAATGTAATTTATCGAGACCTGCGAGTCTCTTGATTTATTGTTTGTAAAATTTTAAATTTTTGTATCGTTAAGAGATTAGATCAAAATGGAGACCGTTCGATGCGAAAGGCCCACACATGTGTGGGTAATTTTACAAGTTGTAAATCTCTAAGGTCTGTGCTTGTACTGGTAGATAAAATAAATTGTAATAGAAGTAGTTCTATTTATTTGTTTTATCACGTACATAGGCATAAACCCATTTTGGCTCGAATGGGTCGTATAGGCAAGAGCATGATCATCCCACCGTATGCATGCATTAGATGTATGTTAGGTTTATTTATGCTTTTGATTCATCCGACGAATAATGCGGTAAATAAACACACGTAAAGATGGTAATTGATGAGATCTAAGGAACCCTAAAGAATTAATTTGATTAAGTCTATATCAAATCAATAATGGATAAAAATAAGTTGGAACTTATTAATCCAGACCTTCCATCAAAAGTAGACGACATGAGATGCTACGATGCTTTATCACCGACCATGAGTCGTGGGGTGGTTTAGTGTCGAAAGCTGTAATCCCTACTAAGTATAGTGATACTCGTGAGGTGGATTTCTCTTTATGTTGACCATGAGTCGTGGGACATTCTGGTGGGCCACTATCATGAATATTTGATGGGTTTGATTTGACACTTAGTAATATATACGGTCATAAAATTGAGGTATATAAGGAAAAGTGAGGCAAAACAACTTGAAGGTTGTATAATGATACAATTGTCAAAAGTTGACTACCGATATAAATGTTTCATGCGTACTCATAAAGTTGGGATATGGAATATTTTTATTGGACTTCAAACCCACTATGAAAATTAGATTTTCATAATTAAAATAGGGGTTTTAATTAAAATAGTGAGAGACATTTAATGTTAAAGACCTAATATTAAATGAATATAAATTCCATAGTCTGATTATTTTCTGCTTCGTTTGTTTTTGTAGATCACTCTACTAAAATGGCTAAGAATCCAATTGCAAGTATCCTTGAACAAAACAAATTAATTGGACCCAATTGTAATGATTGGTTAAGGAACCTGAAAATTGTTCTACAATCTGAAAAAATGGACTATGTATTGGACAAAGCCCCTCCTCCTCCACCCGAGGATCAGACATCTGATGAGTATGGAGAATACTTACGTCATACTGATGACAATCTCCAAGCTCGGTGCTACATGTTAGCATCAATGTC